ACCGCAGTCATACATGTTTTTAGTGAACTCGGCAAAACTCGTTAGTCACTCGAAATGTTTAGGTATAAGCGCTATACTGAAATCATTACATTGTAAAACTCTTCCAGTGTACTTTGAATAAATTTTTGCATAAGTATATATATGCCAAAACAATACGACGCCGCACTGCAATACTCGCGCTTCGTTTTCAACGAAAACGACCCAAATTATGCTTCAACCTCCTCCAAAACACCTATAATATTCCTCCAATAGTCCTAGGGATGAGAATACCATCAGCCACTAAACTTCCTCCAAACATCCGAGAAGTATTCAATTATGTCGTAAAATCGCTGAATGCAAGCTAAAATATCGTTTTATGCGAACGAGCCGATGTATATAAATTGTTACGAAAATGACTAAAAAAAAAAAATAAAAAAAAATATCACTTGTACATTACACTTACCTTTGTATTCGCAGTTTTGCGTGATGTATACGCGAGAAGATGAAAAACCTCCCTCTCATATACGCACCAGAGATTAAATATAACGCCAACTTTGAGTACATAACACCTATAGACATATATGTATATAATATTATATAGGTAGGTGCATCGAGTACAAGCGTATATATTATATTATATACACCACGGTATAAAAGTGCGACGTGCATGCACGAGGTATGAGGGAAAAGGAGGCACTGCAGGGAGAGACGAAGAGGAACAGAAATAAAGAAGGAGAGAGAAGGACGAAGTGAAAGAAAACGGGAGAAGAGGATGTATAGCCGCAGTGGAGGCAGCTATATATTATGTGCATGTGCACTCTGTTCTCAGCCGGGCCAGGCCGTGAGCGTATATATATATATATATATATATACATATAGGGTTGAGAACTGCTAATTATGTAAATTGGCGGTGTAGCAAATTACCCTCACAGTTTGCCTTCGTTTTACGTGTGTGTGTGTGTGTGTGTGTGTGTGTGCATGGACGCGGTGAGACACTCGAGCTACCTTCTCTCACTGTATGGGTCTTTTGCGCAAGTGTTGCGCATACACATATATACGTACAGACTCCTCTCTCGCATACATATGGTTTGGGTCGATTAATACGCCGGCTGGAATCCATCCTCGCGCGCCACCACCACCTTCCTCGTTTGGATGTGTAACAGCCTCCGGCGCGAGACCATCTCTATTTTTTTTTTTTTTTTTTTCCCTTTTTTTCTGTTGGGCGAATCTGAAATTTGTGGAGTTGCTTTTTTTTCTGTTGTTGGTTTGTTCGCTGCTTGTAAAGGTTGTTTGAACAAGTTTTGAAGGAATTTTTCGTGTCCGTTTGGGGGGGGGGGGCTTATTTAGGGCCATTTTCAGTGCGAAATTGCTGGGCTTTTATAGGCACGGAGATGCGTACGCTCGGATTATAATTATGATGATGATGATGATGACGGGCGGACTCACCTGTGCATTGAAATCGGAAACTCATTTATTACCTGCTATTTGAAATAAGAATTTTTTTTTTTTCATGTACGTACAAAGATGTTTTCAGAAAACTCTGAAATCGGCGTTTACTGTGTGCCCACCACTTGGTATATTCAAAGATACCTATACACATGCATTTATGTTAAGGGACTTTTAAACCTGACCGAGAAATTCCGCGAACAAATTGACCGCCGTAATTTACTTCCAAAAGCACCTCTCGTGTTTGCAGAACCAAGGGTATATTTCCGATTTGCATATATTGCATTGAGCGCTTCCTTTGGCATTGGATGGGGAGACACGGTACAGCCTCTTGAGGGACTATATGTACCAAATAGATTTTTACGATGAAATGACGAACTGAGCTCACGAAATTCCCGATCCCTCGTTTCGAAATAAAAGCCCAAACAATCCAATCGGAAACCCGCGTCGCTCCGGACAAGGAGAAATAAAAAAATAAAGCCTCCACATCCACTTATCCGCGCGGTATACGTCGCCGCACAGGCAGACACCTTGCAGGGAGATCCGTCAGAGCAGGTAACACGCTGGAAATTGAAATTTCAAAACTTACCCTCGAGAGCTTTTGCCAAGTATAATATATACACATACGTATATGATTCATGCCCCGATCGAAAAAAAAAAAAAAAAAAAATTGGGGCCAATTAGCGCGTTTGCAATGACAATTGGCGCTCGCGGCTACACTTCCTCTCAATGAATATCCATGCGACCTTTCCCTCATAAGTTACCAAACCGGTGCGCCGTGCATGCATACGCGTGCATAATAACTATATACGGCAAAAACAACAATTAACGCGAGGGCATTTTCAACATCCCCGCGCTCCTCCGATTTGTCGGAAAAATGGTGGTTATTATTACCATCGTAGCGAAGAGCCCCGGCAAATCGGTAGTGACCTTTCGATCTTCCATCTCTGTAAGGAACGAAGAGAGAAAAAAAAAAAAAGCAAACAAAGGCGCACCCCCTGCAAATTGGCGCTAAGGCGTCGACGAGACGATGCTACCTTTAATCGCACTACTGTTATTGGAAGAGAGCGGCCGCGCTTCTTCTTTTTTTCTTCTTTTGCGCGTATCATCGTTTACACACACACCGCGGCTCATGGGTGGTAATTGCTCTCGGGAGTCCTGTGGATACATGTATATAATAGCTCGAGCGATGATTATATGTGTATATATATATACGCGAGCAGCGTGTTCATCGGCTCTGTAATTGGCAAGGACGAGGTACATGTGTTGTCCGTATACAGTGATCTTTGCACCGGTGGAGGCTATACAGCCCACTTATTCCATTTATTTTGCGTTGACAAGGGTAATTCGGCGGGATGGACGACAATTGTGCAACGGATTCGGAATGGATTTCTTTCCTTTCCAGGTTACTGCGATCGAGTCTTTTGATATATATATAGAAAAAGAAAAGAAAGAAACGATGGACGAGTTCATTGAGTTTACGATGCACGTAATCACAATATGTGACGTGTACCGCGAGCTACCGTGCCGAGAGCTTGATTTTCATTGTACATACGCGTCGTTTAATTTTATTCCTCTCTCCCTCCCGATGAGTCGTCTCGTTCCGTTGGTGATGCGTATACCTGACGTTGAGTGATTTCACGTGCATAAACGAGCAATTAACATTTTTTTTTTTTTTTCTTTCCTCTCCTCGAAAACTCGTTTTTTTCCCCCTCTCCCTCTCTCTCGGTGTTCGATCATGTATATGTACACCATATTGCCCGTACGGGGTAAAAGTTTTAAATTCGAAGGCACGCGCGCGAGATAGACGAAGGAGAAATATAGCACAATGTCGGAAAACTTTGATGGCTCCATTTTGCAACGCATATATTGTATATACGTGAAATTTTATAGATGGAGGAATGAAGGGTTGGTCGAAATAAATGAACGCATAGCCAGGTGTATTTAATGGATCTGTGATATAATTTATTTTCGCTATAATGTCGCTAGAACACGAACTAAATCTTTTTTTTTTTTTTTTTTCTCTTATTCTTCGTCTTTCGTTTTTCATCGCCTTATACAGATCTACGAGTCTTACGTCACGAGTAAAATCACAAAATTTCTTATTTACAATGCCTTTACTTGCCTTACTATTTACAACGCCGCTCGTGGAAAAAAAAAACTCCGGCCTGCGTCTCTTGCCACCAAATATTTTTTTTTTTTTCCTTTGTCTTACACACACTCTCTCACACACGCACACATTTGCATAAAGTGACATGAGCTGCCGCCACGGAGTTTCTAATGCATCTTACCGGCTAAATAATTTAAGTAACTCATTCGATTATTATTGTTATTGTTATCATTATCATTAATATTATTATGATTATTATAATTCCACTACGGTTATTTCAGTTTAATTTGCCCGTACAAGTATTTGACATCGATCGAGATTAAAAAATGAAAATACTGTTGCTGCTTCGGCTCACCGAACAACGCGACTTTTTTCTCTCTCTCTCGCTAAGACGTTTCCGTTTACGCACAACGATGATAATCTTGAATTTGGCACGCGCGCTCGCTATACATTGTTTATTCATCGTATTATTTCGCGTAAACGTTTATGGCAGTCGATACATATATGTATATATAGCTCCGTCCCCTCTTTGCGCAAATCACCCGCCACGGGCTTGGCCGTCCGTAAACAAAATTCACGTCGAGGCTATTGTGCCAAAAATCGTGCCGGCGAAATTTGCACACCTTGGCTGTACTTGCACAAACTGGACCCACGGGGGTCGTATCCTCCTTTCGTTTCAATGGCCGGAAGAGGTACGTATACCTATACAAACACACACACATATATATATATATACATGGAAGGAGGAATCGCACTCGTCACACACACACACACACACACATGATTGATACAACATAGGAGGGATCGATCAAACAGCTAATGCAGCCGCGTCCTTCTTCTTCGATTTGTTGGACGATCGGACGCCTCTTGACGATCATCAAGTCGCTCTGTACACACATAGAGCACACTCTGATGCGCGCACATGACGTGTACTTGCACGCTAATACAATACGAATACATGTATAAATACGAATTTACGAATAGCCAAGCTATATGTATCGTCAAAAGTCACCCGAGCGCTATCATCACAATAACAATGTACACCATTTCTCGCAACAATGACAAGTGTCCCCCATGCGTTGTATACATATAGATATACCTACGAGGTACGTACGCCAATACGTGCATTCATTAACATACACACATATACGGATATACATAATATATACACGGTAACTCGAGCCGAACACACCACTTGCACGCATCGGTCACTGTAGTTGTCCAGAGGATCGCTACGACATTTGGCCCGAAGCGAATGGCCCCGAAATACGATCCTGATTGCTGCTCCGGAGCGCAGCGTCGTTTTCACCGGGAATAATAGGAAGAAAGAGCACCCGTCCCTCGTCGTTCACAGTCAATTGGAGCAGTTCTTTTTTTTTTTTTTTTTGCTTACAATAGTCGCAAAAAAAAGAGAAAAAAAAGAAGAAAATAAGAGAGCCTCTTAGTCCAGGCAGAGGACGTCCAGCTACGCCTCCGAGCCACTCGAGCACTCGTCGGCCTCCATGTCTATGTGCTCGTCCTCGTCCTCGTGATGGTAGTCTCCCGTCTCCTGCTGCCACTTGCTCACGTGGTGAGTGTTTTTGTTCACGTTGTTGTTCGCGCCACCACCACCACCACCACCACCGCTGCCATTGTTCGAATTGTTGCCACCTCCGCTGCCACCGCCGCTGCTGCTGTTGTTGTTGTTGTTGTTGGAGCCGCCCGATTGCTGCTGGGCCTTGGCCTCCTCCTCCTGCTGCATGCGCTTGTGCTTCGTCCGCCGGTTTTGGAACCACACTTTCACCTGCAAACGAACAAACGAAACCATCATGCTTTGATTAACTGTTTTTATCTTCTTTGACAGTGTATATATGTGTACACCGTAAAAAACGATCGAAAAGCATCTGATGCGTATTTCTGTACGGAGTGGCTCGTTTTTAATAGAGTCTATCGCGAGCGTGAGAACACAATGCGACGACAAATTTTCGGACGAATGAAAAGAAAAAGAGGAAAAAGCTCGCAGTCATCCGACCCGAGGTATTGTAATCGGTCCAAAGAGCGCGCATATGTGCATTAAAAAAAATACAAGAGGTGATCCAACGATCGTTGGGATGAACAAAAAAAAAAAAAAACAAAAAAGCGTGTCATCAGTCGCCATCTTTCAAGCGTACAGCGACGTCGTGCTCCCCAGATGTGTCACCTCGATCGATCCCCCCAAAGTAACGCACGCGCGCGCTACAGCCGGCTCCCCTCCGCCCCCCTATGACTCTCTGACAAATTAAGTGGCAACTACTTTACTACCGCTCTCTCGCCCCTCCGTTGACGCTCGCACCCTGAAACCGGTATCTCTCCCACCCCTCTACGACTCACCACCGCGGAGATGATGCTGCAGGGGCTGGAAGTACATTTGGGCAAATGGCGCGCGCTAATTCCCAGCCCCCCCCCCCACCGCCTCTCCCGTTTGACTAACCAACTGTATACATACACCCCGCTTATTTACTGGGTGGCGGCTATTGTCCGGGAACTGAATATGCAACCCTGTAACGAGGCTTGGGTTGTTGTCGGAGTACCCCATACTTCCATGGAGTGTTTGCTTTTGGCATGTACCGCCCCGGTGACTTTTTCGGTTACCGTGTTTATACTTTGTCGTTTCGAACGGTATCGTGCGTGCGAATGGATTTTCGTATCTTGAAATTTTTATGCCAATCGTTATCGTTCCCCAATCATTATGTTCCACGAATAGCCCAAAATTCGTCCAAGAAATGGAGTCCAGGAGGGGAAACGGGTACAAAAATGAGCCCCGCATCGAGAAATTCCAGGAGCTAACGATCCGTACATCTTTTCTTTCCTGTAAAATCAAATATTAGCGCGTCACAGCGCATGGCCTTTCTCGTATCTCTGCACCCTTGAATCAAAAGAAGAGGAAGAAGAAGAAGAGGGATAAAACCGAGGGTCCGCGCCGTGGAAGGGGAAGGGAGACAGACACGCGTGCTGCAGGAACGAGAGAGAGAGAGCCAATAATCGAGCATGAAGCCCCGTCCTCTCGTCCGCCGATACATGTGTATACACATATAACGAGCAGTAGCCACTTAGCGAGCGATTAACCGAACAAATAGAGAAGCGAGCCCGCGTATACGCTGCGACCCGAACCCCACTCTCTTTTTTTTTCCATCATCCATTCGCCGGAGCGTAGCAAACGAGCGAGACCCCCGAGAGGGAGAGATATTCGCGACGAAAATACAGCCCCCCCCCACCCCTCAACCTAACTTATACCGTACATGTATAAAGAGGGGAATGTGATGAGCGTTAACATCACACGGGGGGGGAGAGACTCAAGATTCCAGCTCGTGTAATCGAGTTACAGCCCCCCTCCCCTCCTCGTTTCCCCCTATCAGAGACTTCATCGCCCAGGAGAGGGAGGTGTGGGGCTTAGCCCCATTTGGTAATCGCACCCTAGGGTTAGTACGCGTATGTATGTATGTATAAAAACGTAAGAGCTTCTACTCTGCTGTTTCACGTATACATATATATATATATGTAGGTACGAGTATCCTTTGCTCTCCCCAGCCCCCTGGTCGCCCTGGCAACCGGAGCGCCTCTGCATCCGGGATTGGTTGGGGAGAGCCGGGGGTTGGGGTACGTGACCTATGGAAAATAGAGGGCGAGGACACACCCCGAGGGAGACGTTGAGTTGGAAGCGCGTAAATTTTTGTTACGCCACGCTTTTGCGGCTTTGGACGGTGTTTTGGGAATTGTAAGGGAAAAAAAAAACAGGGGGTTGCCACTGGGTTTTTGGACTTATGGATTTTTTGATCGAGGTACACGTACTTGTCTATATACAATTTTTCTTCTCCCCCGGTTATTTTTTTTATCTGTTATACGTTCGAAATCAAATAAAAATGCAGGACACAATGAACGATTCGACGACAGAGCGTCGATTTTTGTGGCGTTGTGTACCTCGACTTTTCAAATGCTGTGCACTTGTTAACTGGCCAAAATATCGCGCTCACCATTAACTTGGTGCTGAAGTTTCTCCCAAATATCGTGAATAGCAGTAAAAGTGGCCGGATATAGTACGTGTATTTTGTTGAGAAACCGTAACAGCGCCCCTCGAACCCTTTCGTTCTTTGTGCTCTCGAGTCAGGAGCGCGTGGAAAAAAAAAACCATAATATACTGGAAGAAAGAGGGCAACTGGACTTATTACCGATAATTTCGAGATACTTTGCTGCTTGTACATGCAAGTATACATCACGCCATCGGAGAGCAAAAGAGAACGAGAGGGGGTATACATAATGCGGGCCATTTTTTTGCCCCATTAAGTTGCACAAGAGCTCTTTTAATGTTTCCCTGTACGTTTGATGCAATAAAATGCACCTCCACGATTGTGTACATATATTTATACTTATCATACCCATATACGTATTTCAGTGCGCTAAATTACCTGCGACAGCAATCAAGTAGGAGCATCTCAACACCAAGTAACTTGACATTAGTTAAAGATGATCGGTTTTACGATAACTATACTTATAGATACGGTCCTAGAAAACTTCAAACATCCGGTGTTGAAAAAACCCTCGGCGAAAAAAAAAAAGGAAAATTTGCACCAAAAGTTAAATTTTTATTTCACGTCGAAAACCTCAATATATATTTTAAGTACAAAGATGATATGAGTATATTTTTCTGGCTAAAATCACGGTAATGTGCTGATTGTAATAATTTTATACGTGTTCCGATAGCACAGTATAACAACATGAACAGCAGCAAGATCCGCATAGTGTATGTACACTGGAAACTCGGCAAAGTCCCTTGATAATTGGATGATAGCCCCGGGGGTTTTAAAAGAAGAAATTACTCGTAATTTCGCAGTCGGTCCGGAAAATTAGGTACTTCTTTAACCGGCAATTCGATACCCGCGCAATTAGCGTGTATCCCCCTTTTTTTTTCTTCCTCTTCGCTTCGGTTGCTGATTGCTATCTGTGCACAATGTGCTCGTGTACAATCAAAACAAGAGAAAATACAAGAAAAAGGCACGGATTTTCACGTCCGATCACAATCGCATGTGCGCGGGTAATTTTCAATCAATCGATACACGGACAATTTGCCTCCTCTAATGGCCCTCTTTAACCGGCTTTTCGCGAAATCGCGCGAAACAAGTACTCTACAGCTCGCAAGAATCTCATTTTTTTTTCTTTCCTCCCGACGCAAACTGTATACGATGATTATATAGGTGCACGAACAAAAAAAAAAAAAAAAAAAAAAAAAGTAAAGAGCACAACGAACTCGATATACCATATACGTATATGCGTACGCCCATAATATACAACAGGGCGCACCGAGCTGTCAACGCTTATTTCTGTCGTACATATATTGTACATACGCGTATCCCCTTGACGTCGTCCTGCACACACATGTATATATTATATACGTGTGTGTGTACGCACATAAGTAGGTACCTTCAATTATCATCCGCCTTTTCTCTCCGGTGTGCTGTCGCGACTCGGTGTTCGACGCTATACGTGGCGGTGTCGCCGTCGTCTATTTGCGCGCAAGACGCACACATATAAAGTGTCACTCCTCTCTCGTGCAGGGGCGAGGAGGAAAAGGGGAGGAGGAACGCGCCGATCTTCCGATCTATTACATACACGTACGCATGTCGTACGTATACGCATATACGTGTATATATATATATATATATATACATACCTTATCCGTAACAAAATCAACAGAGCCAGCGGTGGCCTCTACGAAGCCGAAGCGTGACGAAACATATCGGGGATAGAGCAATTTCAACTATAGCCGATGNGACACACATCGTGGAACGTGCTATGAAGTTACTCTGCGATAAGAAATGAATAGAAGACGCGTTTCCTCATTAGAAGTTTAGAAGATGATATAATATATAATACTAATAATAGTACAAAAGGGAGTCAGGTTCTTCCTCTTCTTTGTCGTCGTCGTCCTCTTCGATACATATCGCCCGCGTGCGCGTATGGTAAGCGTATATACATGAGCGCATACGAAGCTGATGGTGAAGGCACACACAAACTCACGAGGGACTGGATTGTTATACGATTGAATCAAAGAGCAAAGAGGAAGGGGTTGCACACAGGTATATAGCTGCCGGCTCGGAGGGGCCTCGGAGCTCATTATCTCACCTGTGCGATCGACACTCGCGATATTTCGCTCGTCTCCTGTCCTCCCCCCACCCCTTCTTTTTTCTTTCTTTTTTTTTCGCATACATATATACACACTTTGGTATGCGCTCGCCTGTCGTTTTCCATTTCGATACACGTACAGGTATACGCACGACCCACCGAGTGTACTTTGATTATATATATATATACATATGTTTATGGAGAAGATGATCGGTGGTGTATTTTCATGTGTGCGTGTTGACTTTTTCATGGAGAGCCGAGCGTGAAAATTGACGAGTTTGCGCAGCCACGTTATATCGGTGTAAATGTATATATACGGATCTGATGTATATAAATACACTTTAATTATAGCATATAAGGAAATGCTGATTTATTTAAAACTACCACTAATTTCGTCGTGCAAAGGGAAAAGGAAGCACCCCGGAAACGAGGCTCAAATTTACGGGTATACAACAAATACAACACACCTCGTTAATAATCTCAACTTGCTAGTGTCCAGCATTGCACACAGCAACGATCTCATGTCTATGCGGGCACGCGGCACATCAGATGCCTTATTGTCCTTAAACATTGAATCTTACATGTTTGTGTGATGTGTGATCGGTAACATGACTTGGCGCGAGGAAGATCGTGCAAAATTTACACCTG